CCAGAATAGCAGAAGCAGCTAGAGTTAGAAAAATTTAAACACTGTGTTTAGCTGTCTGGGTAGCTCAGTGAGTTAAGTATCTGGCTGGGAGTTTACTGTGCATCCTAGAACAGTGGTCCCCAACCTTGGGTGCCTCCAGATGTTCTTGGACTTCAACTCCCAGAAATCTTGGCCAGCAGAGGTGATGGTGAAGGCTTCTGGGAGTTGTAGTCCAAGAACACCTGGAAGCCCAAGGTTATTGACCACTGTCCTAGAAGATCCAGCTTGTGTGGCCTTGCGCAGTCTCGGGATACTCCCCAGAAGAAGGGAATCATAAACCTGAGTGTCTAGAAAAGGGTCACCATTTTTTATTTAGGGTATTGTAGTTAGTTTATAATTTTTATTGGTTTGTCTACTATGTTTAAACCACTATTTTCTAAATGGAGAGTGGAAAGCTTATAAAAGAATGAAAATACAGGCACAAGCTGAATTGGTTTTTCCTTGTCCAGATGTCACCCTGGAGCTATACAATCTGGCCATGGCTGGGACAGCTTTAACCTTTATCTTCAAGGATCTATTTTGTCGGAAGCCAGTGGACAATTTGTGACTCTGCAGATGCTGGACTATCTTAAGGTCTATCTAGTGTGGCCAATTATGAGACATGATGGGTGTTCCAATCAGCAACGTCTGAGGGCCACCAGTTGTCCATTGTGGTATAGAGGAAACAGGAGGAAAAGCCAGTCCATTGACTTAGCTGAGAAATCAGCCATTTTTATTTTCCCTCTTGAGTCTGGGTCTGTAACTGAGATGGAGATGTTGTGGCTCTCCAGTTGTTGTTAGATCAGAGGTCTTATTGACCCTAGACAAAATAGCCATTGGGAGGGATGATGGAAGCTGCAGTCTGGCAACAGGTAAAGGAGCTAATATTTTCTCCATTCCTGATTTACATAGTTTAGTTCTGTATACAGTATCTTATCAAATTCTGCATTTGCAAATAAACGGAATTACTTTTTGTTAGGTGTTTGGAAGCAGTAACCAATCCAGAGCATCAGGCTCATTGCCAGAGGAACAGAAGGTTTTTTTGCAAAATGGACCTGATTTGCAAGACTTTGTGTCTGGGGAACTTTCGGATAAAACTAAGTGGGCCGAATATAAAGGCAGTTTGAAGCGCCAAAAAGGAGAGAGGTGTGTAAAAGAACTTAGTTATTCTCTATACTAGAATGCTTTATTTATAATCTGATGCAATTTCATGCTTTTTGTGGCCTGATGCAGAATTCCTTGTACTATCTGAATGAATATTGTTTCTTTAACAGCTCTGCAACCAAAGTGAATAGAACATAAGCCTTGCAAGAAGACTTTTTTGAGGTGGATGGGGTTTGATAGCAAAAGGTTGTAACTGCATCCAAAGATTTGTACCCTAAATTGTGAGAGAGCCTAAAACAAACAAATGTAAACTATTAAGCACTCTACCATCTCTGTTTAGGCTCAGGTTATTATAAAACATGTGAGAGATAATTTTTAGAAATCTATGTTAGCTCTGTGTGTAGTGTGAGCTATATTGAATGGAGCTCCTATGTACTTAAGAGAAGGTGAGAGTTTTTTTAAAAAAAAAGACATTTCTATATTGGATAAGTTAGACATATGGGAACTAAATCAATTCCTCCAATTCAAATTGTCTGATAGAACAAAATTTGATAATACAAAATGAGTACAGTACTTTGTTTTTAGGCTGAGACTTCCGCCGTGGCTGAAAACTGAGATCCCAATTGGAAAAAATTACAACAAGCTGAAGAACACACTGCGCAGTTTAAATCTCCATACGGTAAATCTTGTGCTTGATTAATGGATTAAAAAGTTCATTTTGCTTCTCCTATTTGGTGAATCTTCATTATAGTTGCACCATAAAGAACTGTCTATCCATCAGACCCTAGCCTATTGACAAACTGATAGGATTTCTTAGATGTTCCACACCCAAAGTGCTTCTGGTTTTAAGGAAAGCTGTTGAAATGTGCCCAGGAACAGATTCGGCAGGAGTGCAGTTGTTAGTATAGCATGTATCTCATGAACAAACATCCACTAATATTGATTCTCTTTGGTTCAGCTAAAATTTCCGAAGACTCTTCAATATAGCCCTACACAGAGCACATTCTGATCGTCTAGCTTAGATGTAACTAAGACTTGTGTCAATATGTTATATTCTTGTTCCTTGCAGTCTGTTTCTAATGGGGGTACATTATGTGCATGATGGGCTGGTTCGTGTGTTAAGTCTCACTCCTAGAAATGATCTAGTGTTGCAGTTTACTGCATTTTGTTGTGATTTTGACCCCTGAATGTTAATTTCCTTTTTGTGAAATAATGATAATTGTAATAGTAGTATTTACTATTATCATATATTTATTCCTACACTATTAGTGATTGTTTCATTAACTGCAGGTCTGTGAAGAAGCACGTTGTCCAAACATTGGAGAATGCTGGGGAGGAGGTGAATATGCTACTGCAACAGCAACTATAATGGTAAGTGGGTCAGAAATGGCAAAACTGGACTTTCAGAAAACTCTTATTTTAGTTATTCAGGATGGTATCAGAACAAAGAATGCAGCAAGAGAAAACATTTGTCTTGTTACCTGTCATTATAAAAAGTGGAACTGTAATCAGCATTTGAGTCTGCTTCTTATGTTATCTGAACAGTGTCTTTAATACTTCTGAGAATTCTCATTGCATGGTGCTATAAGTCATTATGTTATTCTACAAATTAAAAATAAGGAGACCTTGGGAAGGAGGAGCATAAAACATGGCTACACTCTCTAATATGGCTTGTAGGGGGCAGCTCTGCCTCTTCTTATCTAAATATATTAGTGTACTAGCACCCTGTGCTTTATGCATTGAGCATGCTACTTTGGAGTTAATAAACCTTTTATTTTGGGGTTAGTATGTTTGGTTGCCCCATAGCCCACTCAGACTACAAGCTGCTTTAGCAGTACCTCAAGTGTATACAGCTATTAAAAAGCTGCAACTGTGCTTAAGAATTGGCTCACAAACTATAAATATCATTCCTGATTTGTTAATCTGTATGCAGTGGTGTCCTCCTGGTGGACAATATGGGCATTCAGATGCATTTGGCATAGTTTAGCCCATTTTGTCGTGGTTCAGGGCTTTCATTTGTGATATACTGTTAAGATAAACATTTGGAAAGAGACCTGCAGCTTAATCTCTGCTGAAAAAGCCACAGTATCAAAATAGTTAGCTTAGTGGTTTAGGTATCTGGATGTGGAGCCGGAGGTTGGGAGTTCAATTCTCCACTGTGCCTCCATGACAAGGGCTGGACTTGATGATCCCTTTAAGTTCTGCAGTTCTAAGATGATGATGATGATTGTTGTTGTTTATGTACTGATGCATTAATTCATCAATTGTGCTAGAAACGAGATGTGCTGAAACTAGAAGTTTCAGGCTCTGTATATCTTATGTTGCCTATGGAAGCTCTCAAGGTAAAAAAGGTAAAGGTTCTCCTTGACAATTTTTGTCCAGTCGTGTCCGACTCTAGGGGGCGGCGCTCATCCCGCTCTTCAAGCCATAGAGCCAGTGTTTGTCCGAAGACAATCTTTCCGTGGTCACATGGCCAGTGTGATTTAGACACGGAACGCTGTTTACCTTCCCACCGAGGTGGTACCTACGTATTTATCTACTCACATTTGCATGCTTTCGAACCGCTAGGTTGGCGGGAGCTGGGACAGGCGACGGGTGCTCATTCCGTCGCGTGGATTCGAACTTACGACTGCTGGTCTTCTGACCCTGCAGCACAGGCTTCTGCGGTTTAGCCCACAGCGCCGCCACGTCCCTGGAAGCTCTCAAACAGGACGTTTATTCCTTTGAGAAGTCAGGGAGAGCCTCTGCTGTATTAGACCAAGCTTGTTTTCCGCAGTGGCCAAGCAAATTTATACAGAAAGTCCACAGGCAGGACGTGAAGGCAATGGCTGTCTTCCAGTTATGTTCCCCGGGAGTTGATATTTAGAGGCATGCTACCTGCTGATAGTATTTGAATTTTTATAGTAAAGATCTGTGCTTTTTAAATAGGTTTGTTTAAAAACTACCTTTTTTTCTTTATCAGCTAATGGGGGACACATGTACACGAGGTTGTCGCTTCTGTTCAGTAAAAACAGCAAAAGCCCCTCCCCCACTAGATCCTGATGAACCATATAATACAGCAAAAGCAATAGCTGAATGGGGGCTGGATTATGTTGTTCTGACCTCTGTGGATAGAGATGGTAAGAGTATTTTATTGCCCTAGAAAAATGCAGTTATTTTTAATGCAAAAATAATGCCTAAAACTTATTGTGGATTCATGCCAAAATAAATATAATTGCAAATATCATGGTGGTGAATTTCCACTTGTGCGATGGAACAAAACCCACCAGAAAGAAGGAGAATGAGCCGTTCCCTCAGACTCCCACCACAGAGGGTTACGAAACCATGCATACTCTGCTACTGGCAATGGCTCAGTTGGGGATACAAGACAAAAAGAGGAAGGAAAAGGAGGAAAAAGGCAGGAAAACAACAGTTAGAGAGGAAACACCAATAGAAGAGGGGTATCTGATGATGGAGGTAAAGGCGGGGATAAAAGGAGAGGTAGACTGGGAGACACTGGTAGAACAGGAGGAGGAGGGGAAGAAAAATAGAAGTGACGAGAAGGGCAAAAATATACTCTTAGGATGGGGGTGGCTAGAGATGGAGGTTCCATGGACCAGGGAGAGAGCCCATATGAAATTGCCCCTTGAAGAGAGAGAGAGAAGGCAACAATATCATACTTCAGCATATCATAATTCAGCCCCAATAGAGGCTAAAAGAGAGAGGAGACAGGAGGTTCAAAAAGGGGGAAGAGGTAGAATATCCATGCAACTGAGAGAAAAAGAACTGATAGAATAGACTGTGTATGTGTACCCAAAAGAGGGGATCATTGGAAAAAGGGAGGCAAGCCAGTGCCGAGCTCCCAACCCAAGATACCTACAGAAGGAGAGAGGGCTTGACACCATTGTTGTGGGAATGTTTGCCCCACCCTAAGGAACCCAGTCAGGAAGCCAATGGATTGTGAGTGCTTTGGGGTGAACCCCCGTTGAAGTCGTTCCTTGCGCAGGAGTTCAAAGAGAGTTGGGAAAAGACGGATATACTAGATGGACCTGTTGGTCCTATAGAAGTAGTTGTGCATGATTTTCCATTATCGTTTAATAAAAAGTTTATGCATTTTGAAGAGCCATCACTACTTTTTTGGGGAGCGAAAGGGAAGTTAGAAGGAATCTAAGCTTGAACCCACTCACACCACTAATTAACAAATTGCTATTTGCATTTCTGCATTATGCTCCAAGTCATGTTGCTGGCTTATGACCAGGAATGTGAATGTTAACCCATTCATTAGCAGCAACTGACTGACACACTTTGCACAAGAGTTGTTAGGTTGGCATAAATCAACAATAGGAATCTGGTCAGTACAATTTTAAAGCACATCTAAATTATTTTTAAACTATGCAAAACATTTTCTCAACTTAAATGTCACAGAGTTGTTCCATAGAACTGATGCAGTTGAAAAGAGCCTATGATAAACTTTGTTATAACTGCAGAAGTTTCTCTTTAGAGTTGCAGTTCCAGTGCCAAAATTACAACAAAGATTAATCAATGCTTTGGATGGAATTCCATGAGTCTTAAATGGTTTGAGGGTTTTTTTTATCCCTTCTGTTCTTAACTGTACTTGAAAAATACAATTTTGAAAATTATGTCTGTTTCTCTTTTGGTGGATTTGATTCCTCTATTTATTGCCTCCAAGAGCTTTTGCATGTTTTGTTTCTGGCTGAGCCAGCCTACATGTACAGGAGTGAAATGTACAGGAATCATATGCACACTAGTGCTACTAGGTGTGTGTAAAGGTAGAAGCTTGTTCTACATGTAAAATAACTGCAGCACATTGTTCTTAGATATCCCTGATGGTGGAGCAGTACACTTTGCAAAGACAGTATCACACTTAAAAGAAAGGTAAATGTGAATATCAGTACATTTAATTTGATTACTTCTAAAAATTGGCTGCAATATTTTCTTTATAATGCGCATTTATTTTCTAATCCATTTTCTCAGGAATCCCAGAATTCTAGTGGAATGCTTAACTCCGGATTTCCGAGGGGATCTTAAAGCTGTGGAGAAAGTTGCTCTGTCAGGATTAGATGTATTTGCTCACAATGTGGAAACAGTTCCAGAATTGCAGAGGTGATTAAAGGTGGTATATATATAGACAGATAAATGTACATATACAGAAAAAAAGATTTGCTCAGCTTAAATGTTTTCGTATATTTACTTTGATATTTGTTAGCTAGAGGCTCCTGAATTTAAAAGGGTTCTGTTAAGACAAGAGTAGTGATCTGTACTTCATCACTGTGTTAGCTATTTTTTCCTTATAGAAGACAGAACAATAGATCCATATTTGGGATAGTATACTGTACATGCAGAATACTTGTTCTGTATGCTTATTGTTGTTGCACTTGTTAAAGGGGATTATGTATCACAGAAACTATATATGCTTAAATTCTTTCTACCTTTGCGTCATTCAATCATGATTCAGAATTTTTTATTATGAGTCTTTCTTAAGGTTAGCTCCTTTCTGGGCAAAGGAAGACAGCCTACAAACATAAGCATACTTTTGCCAAACTGGCTCTTCATGTTCTGTTACATTCAGTCAAGAGTTTGATTTCTGCACATTGTTTCTGTTTAATTGGATTACACGTGCATCTTGTATATCTAGCCCTTTTAAAATGCCCAATTTGTAAATTGTGAACTTCTAATCAGTGTTTTTCAACTTGGACCCTTTCATATGTTTTGGCCTCCAGCTCCCATCAGCTATGCTGACTGTGGCTAATGGGAGCTGCAGTTCAAAACACTTGGTGAGACAGAAGATGTGAAAGGCAGTGCTAGCTGGATTCAGGTCAATTTCTAGAAGCATGGATATTGGCCATCATCACTGAAAAGAAGAATTTAAGAAGAGCTTTCCTGCAGCAGCACAAAGGGCACGTCTAGATCACTGTTTCCACAGTAACCAGCTTGATGCCTAGGGGACGTACGGCATGAATATCATGGCATCCCGAGGGGTGTGTTTCCCAGCAAGTGGTTTTCAAAGCATCCTGCCTCTGATACTAGAACTAATAAACTGAAACGTTGGTATGTGCATAGGTAGACATAGATTCAAGCCTTTGAAATAAGATGGCAAAAATCAGATTCTGTAATTAAGAAAACGCAGTGACTGAAATACCGTTGCTGTAAACTATGCTGCATAATGGTGATGATGTCATAAGCAATAATGATTTTTTTAAAAAAACATTTTTGCCTTCCATTCTGAAGCTTTGAAGGAATGCCCTTTATTGTTGATAAGCTGTGGAGGGCTTCTGAACAAGAGAGAAATTTTTAATTACTAAAAATTGCCACCACCTGATGGACCGTGCTGTAGGCAGCAGTTTTTGGTAATTAAAGACAGCTTCTTCCCATTTTGCACCCACCACAAGTTCCTTAAAAGAAAAGGGATTATAGAGCCATCTTAACATCTTTGGAACAGTAGTGGGAGGTGTTTAATTTCTGAAGATTGCTGCTGCTGACACTATTAGCCTTACACAGCATTTTTTAAGACAACAGGATTTCAGCCAGAATTTGATATTCCCCATTTTGTCCTGAAATGAATAATCTGTTTCTATCACTATCACCAGATTCTTATTGCCCTCTCAACCTAGTTATGCTGAACTTTGGAGATATTCTTTATTTGGGTAATCTTCTGTAGTTTGAGGGCTCCGATCCAGTAGCCTTTGCCAAAGGCTTTTTGAGAACCATAATTAAAACCACTTTTATTCTGCTCAAAACATGTTACTGCTATCCTTTTTCTTAAAGAATGGTTCGTGATCCTCGAGCTAATTTTGAGCAGTCCCTCAGCGTTTTGAAGCATGCAAAGAAGGTTCAGCCTGATGTAATTTCTAAAACATCCATCATGCTTGGTCTAGGTGAAACCGATCAACAAATACTCTCCACGCTGAAATGTAAGTAAGAATTCTGGGTGCACAAGAGACCATGATTCAAAGGAGGAGGGATCACAGCTCAGTGGTTCTGTATGTCATTTAAAGGCCCTGTGGTAGCTGTGCAGCTTCTGACCTGCATTTTTTTGCAAAAGAAAGAAAGCCAGTAATCTCCAGATCCTAGGTGCTTATTTGACTTTAAGTATGTGGTGTGCTTTTGTTCACCAAGACCCGAGCAGTTTTTATTCATAAGCTCTAGCAAGGCTTACTTTCATGTAAGTGTATTTATAGAGCCATGACAATGCTATACCATGATTCTATTTCCGACTAATGGTACATTTATTTCTTCTTATAGTATTACGTGATGCAGATGTAGATTGTTTGACCTTGGGACAATACATGCAACCAACAAAGCGCCATTTAAAGGGAAGTATCTGGTTTTGTATTGAAAATATAGCAATATTTGAACATCATGACCTTCTGGTGTAAAGACTTATCACTGACCCAGTGTACACCTATAGCTGTTGTTCTTTACATGAAATAGCCTACCACACACAGGAAACAACTAGTGTAGTCTATGCATTATCACAAATCAGTGTACTTTCTTTGTAAGAAAAGCCAAGCACAATATCATACAATGGTGAGATTGGGTCTGTCACTCCAATAGCACCATTATTGCCTTGCCTTGCACAAGGGAGCTGTGACAGTGTTTTATTCTTAAATCGGGAGGAGCAATGTGGTCTTTCAAATATTGTTGGACTCCCACTCCCATGGGACTAGAGCTGATGGGAGTTGCAGTCCACCATTCAGAGGTTCACAGGTTGCCCATCCCTCCCTAAAGTTTAATTAATTGTTGTTTAAAATGTTGTTCCGCAAACAGTATAAAACAAATCCCATAAGGTTAGGCCATTGCACCCTCTTCTGTTTACAGTGGGGACACGGATTAGTGTATCTTCTTATTTTGTATTTCCGGTTGGTGCAATTTGTGTTCGTTGGGACTTAAGAGAAATATCATTCCGTATCAGAATATCATGATTGGGGGGTACCCAGTGTGTTGTAGTAGAAAGAGTTATGAACTAAGACTCATGAGACCTGTGTTTGATTCCCTGGCTCAGCCATGGAAACTCACTGGGTTTGGTAAAACCACTCTGAAATGCTTCATGTACCTTGCAAACACAATTAGACTCAGTCAGTTCTGCTTGATGGCGCATAACAAAGATTGTGATCTAATTAAATTCCTCTATGCAGGTTGAAGAATATGTTACTCCTGAGAAATTTAAATATTGGGAAAAAGTAGGAAATGACCTTGGATTTCATTATACTGCTAGTGGACCTCTTGTGCGTTCTTCATACAAAGCAGGTAAAACATGTAACTAGTTGGAATAACTTTAACCATAAAGCACTGCTAGTATTGATATGTTCAATAGAATTCTCCTGCAAACATGGAAGATTAATGGAAAACCACTCAAGCAATTCTACTTGGATTATGTACTGTTGAGCTCCCCCCACATCCAGGGGTTGAACAGATAGATGATCACATATCTGGGCAACCAGCAAGAGGGGAGAAATGCTTACATAGCTATCCTTATGCACTCTTTTTTTTTAATTCAATAGAGTTTTGGTTAGAGAAACTGGCTGAAATCCTATTGCTTAGTGAGTTCCACTAGAGTAGGCCCACTAAATCAACAGGGATTTGGTGAGTCAACATATTAAAGTATGTTAAAATCAGAGTTGGCTCACATGACTCAATACAGTGGTGCCTCGCTTGACAACGATAATTCGTTCCAGTGAAATCGCTGTAGAGTGAAAATGTCGTCAAACGAAATTAAAAACATTGAAATGCATTGAAAACCGTTCGATAGGTTCCAATGAGCTGAATACCTGCTCATCCAGCGAAGATCCATACGGCGGCCATTTTCGGTGCCTGTAAAGCAAGGAACCCGTCCTAGAAAACAGCGGGGAGGGCCATTTTGAAACCCGACGATCAGCTGTTTGCTGATCGTCGTAAAGCGAAAATCGGTTCCCGAAGCAGGGAACTGATCATCGCACAGCGGAAAAAAAACCATTTAATGCGATCGCAACAACATCAGTGTAAAGCAGATTCGTCGTAGAGTGGGGTAATGGTCCAGCGGGGCACGACTGTATAACAGAAAGGTATTGTGTCTTCCATTCTATTTCATGGTGTGTATTCTCTTGCAGAACTCAGTCAGCAATGATGTCACTGGCAGCAGCTCATTGCTACTAATTTAAAAGTTCCTTTTTTCAGTTTTCGGAGCAGCTCTGAAATCAATGGCAACCTGCCACTGCTAATGATGTTATTGGTGCTGTACCAGTAGAGGTCTACAAGAGAATGCTACATATGGAATAGCGCCCATCTCTGTGCAACCTCCAGTCATGCCCGACTGCCATATTTGCTTGTGATAGTTACTGAGGAAACTGGTCATCTGCAAGTGGTCCTACTACTGCTCTGAATGTGTCTCCTGTAGCTAGCCAAGTAACAAAAGGGTCAGAAATTGTAGCTATTCCAGTTACTGTGGTTTATACATTGGAAAAGGCTCCAATTGCCCTCTTCTTAAAGGTAGAAAAATCTTTTTTAAAAGATTCTGGCTGCTGTAATTTTACACCTGCCTGCCTGGGAATACACTCCACTAAAATCTCTTAGAAATACAGATATTGTTAATCTATTTTTAAAGGCTGTGAGTTGGATCTTTGTTTCTGTTGCCCAAAACCTTGATATTTTTTTCTAAATTTAAATCCAAATAGCATTATCCTATGTTTGTCTACTTGAACATCCCACTATCAGAATTACCTCCCAGATAAATGAGTATACAACTGCAGCCTAAAGGTTTGATTTTGTTAAAAATGTGGGGAATTGTTTAGACGTGTAACTTCTTCCATTTGTCCTAAAGGTAATGCTTCTAGTGCTAAGGACAGATATCGAAGACATCTTTAGCAAGCAGTTCTTGCTAGTGTTCTGGGGTTATCTAGAATACTATCAACAAAATGCGATTAAAAATATCTGTAACTTCGTTGAAACTGATATGCATGTTTTTCTGCACATAGGTGAATTTTTCTTGAAAAATCTAATACAGAAGAGGAAGACAAAAGACATTTGAAAACTCAGCTATCCACAAGGAGGAGTCTACTACTTTAATTAAATATATTCAAGGCAGCATTGAAGAACAAACTGCGTAAGGGATGGACATTCCTCAGCCTTTTTTAAAAATCAAAATTAAACCCAACCTTGAAGTATTTGGATTGTTCTTGAAATCTTACACATCCAGTATGGTAAAAATATAGATTAATGTGCATGAAATGGCTTTAAATCTTTTATGTTGTAATATATGAAAGAAAATGGGAGGATTAACTACAGCCATGAAAGATATACTTTGGAAAAATCAAGAGAGTTAGATGCAGATTTTAAATGCCTTGCGGGTAACACTAGTTATTAAATAAAAACAGCTAGGCACTGTGTGCAACTTTGTTAGTACTTCAAATACACAAATATTTAAACATTCTTTTTTTTTCATCCTAAAAGATGGTATGATACTTAGCACTGGTAGCACACACCATTCTTAAGGAATTGTTATGATAAACTAGTACATAGACATAGTACATGTGTTTGGGACCAGACATAATGTTTTTTCTCCTTTTGTGAGCTTTATGTGCAGCAGCACAAGGCACCGTGAAGCATCTAAGAGCAAGCACCTTTGAAATACTGCTGGAACTATTTATATGATATATTTATCCATGTGAAGATTATTACTTGATGGTGCCCTTACCTTGGAGACAGAATTATGAGGTGGATGGCTATGGCCCTTTCTGTATTGGATAGTCAAGGAAATTACACAGAACATTTTGACAGCAAAGTCCATCAGCAATGTACATAACATGATTTGTACTCAGTCTATTAGAAGGGGAGATAATAAGCAAATTAAACTTCACTAAAATTGAAACTATCGCTTTACTTGGATAAATTTGGTCTCAGTCTTTTGCCAAAATACTAGGTTTAAAAAATAACAGGGTGGATCTAAAATCTGCTACAGATGGAAAGGACTTTTCTGTTGAGGAAAGTGTTCTAGTTGAGCAAAACATTGGTGCTTCTGGAAGCAGTTTTTGCTGATTGTTTCCCTTTTCTCTCTGCCATCTGAAATGCTTGAAAGTTGGAAAATCTGGTACAGAATGGTAGAGGGAAATCAGCCACAGTCCCCACTTCCATCACTACCCACTGGCTAGAAAATTCTAAGCACAACTTATATGGTAACAAACCCTGTATTCAGCCCAGCATGTTTCAGAGTATGCATGATAATTTAACACTAATAGCTATAAAAAGAACCTGTGCTAAATCTAATTTTTACACTTGGGTAAATCCCAGCGATGCAATGAGCCTTTTCTAGTTGGGACTAACAACTGGATATGAACTTTTGAGGTCATCTACTAATACTGTCAGCAAGAGGTTTTGCATCAGTTTGAAGGAAAATTGGGCTCCTTCCTAACTGGTGTTTTTCTTTTACGCGTTCTGTCTTCTGTTCTTTAGGTTCATTGGGGTTTCTAGGTCACTCACAATTCAGGTTTCTGCTTCTCTTAATGTATTCCATGAAGGGGAAAAGATGTAAATATGCTGGGGCCGAGGTGGCAACCTGTGGCCTACCAGATGGTGAACTACAAGTCCTATCAGTTCCAACTCATTAGTAATACTCCATTAGGAAAAAAGTGCTAAACAGCCCCAATATATTCACACCAACACAGTCGTGTAAAAGCCTGTGATGCATATATAGGTAGTACTTGTGCTCTTTAACGAAAGTTGCTCAGTTGATCCTTTTCTCAGCCAGAAGAGAAAGCAATGGAAATGTTTCCTTCAAAATGTATTTATTTGAACTGTTCTGTTAAAAACTGGGGAAGGGGAAATAAAGCTGAATAACACAGATTAATACCAAAGAGCATAAAAAATTTATTTTCAAATCAGAGTGAGGTAGTAAGCTGATTAATACATAAAAAGATTTTGTTCTGCTATAGTCACAGAACATTTGCTCCTGCAGAATTTATGTTAACAGAAAGCATCAAAATAGCAGGGGGAAAGGATTGAACATCATGTGGTATTCATAAAAATGTCATTGCTTCATTCGGACTGAATGTTCTGAACACTCACGGTGTCTGTCTTGGACTGAGGAACATCTGGACCTGCAGGTGTTGAACTGTTACTCAAGTCAGTGTTAGACACACAACCGAAGGGGGAAAAGGGACTTCCAATTCAACAAATGCTGGAGGGCCACATGGTCCCTGTCCTTGATTTATAAGATATGTGATTTCCCCTTGGTAACAGGAATTACCAGTCAATCTCCTGCAAAGTTCCAGTGAGATTCTCCAAGTCCAGAAAAACTATTTGAGACAGTTTTGACAAAAAGGTGTTTTACAGCTAAACAAAGAAAGGCAGATAGGTGCAGCTACAGGATGTATGTTTGTGAGAGGTCTCTATTCAATAAGGAAGCAGAGAAGCAATTCTATTAAACAGATGTTGGCCATTTCATGTCCTGTGGCACACTCGGTACCAATGGTGGTGGGGATCACACTCCCATTCACTCTATGCACTGATTAAAATTCTAGTTTCTGATAGAAGGGAAGGAGGAACCTGTCTCCCTTTCATCAACATGCACAGGTCTTAAGAACTACACCACTAAGGAGATATTTGCACAAGCTGTAAAGAAGCCATATCTTGGGCACACAAAGATAGCTGATATCCAAATTGACAACTCAGCTAGTTCTTAAGGTACCAGGTGACCCTGCTTTCTCCCCTGTGTGTGTGTGTGTGTGTGTGTGTGAGAGAGAGAGAGAGAGAGAAACTGAGCTCTCTCGCTTGGTAACTGCAGGAGTTCCTGGAAGCACCAACTAAATTCCTGGAAGTTCCAGTTAAGAAGTTGGTGGCTTTACTCTTCCTCTCCTCTTTCCTCTGCAGAGAAGGAGGAAGAGGAGCAAAGTACTTAGAGCCAGCTTTTCTAGGAGATTGTTGAATCCTGAACTGGAAACACAGGCACCATTTGAGAACTGGAATCATTTCTATCCCTGATCTCTGGAGATAAAAAAGACTCCCTCTCCCTTGAAATTAGTCAAGGAGGGATGCTAAATGACAAGCAGAGATCCTTCACGGGCCAGAGATTCCCCTTTCCTGCAATACCACAGTCACAGTGCATCTCATTCAGATCAGCCAACATCCATTCATCAGGGAAATATACAACTTATTCAGATCATACAGAGGTGTCCTGACTATGATGGGAATCACACCTTCCTGAATCTCCAAAAAGGCATAGAAAAATTACTAACCCACTTATGTAGCACTTCAGCCTAAATGAAAAAAAGGACCGACATTCCTTCATGTCCAGCTGCCTCTAATGTGGGCAGAGTTCTGGGTGTCATCTTAAAATAATAACCACAGAATACTCTGTTAACTTCTGGGCTTTGTTTATAAAACTTGTCCTTGAGTAAACTGTGCATATCCAACTAGAACCAAAAGTTCCAACAATGTTCTATAGTATAGGAGTATAAAAGAGGATGGGGAAGTTCCTTATTTCTTTTGGATTTTAAAACATGTCATAAAAATGTAAAATGCAATCCATAAACCTCTTACACTAGAAGTCTTGCAGTTTGAAGTTAATGAGTTATTTATATATAAAAAATTATTACTGAAATGATTTGGTCATAGTTTTTCACTTCAGTGACATTCCATTTATAAAAATAGAGATTACAAAACAGATTCTAAATTGAAGTGTCCCAAATAAATGCTACCATTCATATGATGTCTTAATTCTGAGAAAATATTTAGCATAATCTATCCACAGTTAAGCTCTTTTCAGTTCCATTGATTTCTATGGGAGATGTTTAAGCATATGCTTACTTTCATACTGATATCAAAAGGGGTTCGGTGCTTAACACATGCTCAAATGTACCCATTTTTTCTTTTTAAATCATGCTGGTCACATGGGAAGATTCATTACACTCCTTCCATATCAGTTAAAACTTATACTCTTGGCTTCTTTAGTGGAGGGTCTTGTAAGCTGAACTTTGGTATGTCAGATGAAGATGCAAATGGGATCCTTTTTGCTGAAACCTTCTTCCCAATTGTTTCAATCTGAAGGGAAGAAAAATATTACACAAGAAAATTGGTTAGAGAAAAACATACTGTTCTAAACCATTTTGGGGACTCTTCCAGACAGAGTATCATTCTACTGAATGTATCAGTGTCTACACTGATTTTACAGATAGTTTCCCTGCAACCTACACAATTTTCCTCCTATCTCACAACAGTAGCTTCTCTCATGATTTTCAGTGCTTTTTTGTTCCTTCAGAAATCAGGGTTTATTGTTGTTGGAGTTTAATATTATGGAGCTTTCTCTGTTGACATCTGTAGCAAGAGCTTCCCAGTAGAAAAGTTTCAATTAGCACTCAAAAGCATTAACAACAACAACAATATAAAATAGCATCAGCAGCAGAACCTCAGCATGGAAACTGATGTATATTTTTGTAAATGTTTTCTTAGAAATATCTTAAAGAGCAACATTTTTCTTAAAGAGAAGAAAAGTAGGTTTGTTTGGATATGAATCCCAGCAACCTGCAGTCTCCTCCATCACCAAGCAGCAAGAGAAGCTGGACAGATGCTCTACCTGGAATAGTTGTATACATTTCTGAAGGTGAAAAACAAGGAATCCATTTAAGTACTTGATTCTGTACTTACCCTCTGAAGTGGTATGGTCTGAAGAGGGCTTTACTATGTGAGAGCTTTGAACTTCTAGCTTGGCCCTTGTTTTAAAATGGCATTAGTTATTTTTACTTGGCCATAAAGGTGATGATGGTACGACTGGAAACAAGCATTGGGCTTACATGCTTTTGTTATTGGTTGTACAAAGCAACCCTGAAACCAAAATCCTATGACTAACTGAATAAAGGACCTCCTTTACTCTGAACCTGGCACAGTGAAAGCAGTTCAGTATCTATGTTAAGAGGATCCCCAATGTTTTGGCTACAACCATCTATGGCTGATGAAATGTATACATTCCTGAGGCGAGCTTTCAGTCACATCATATGTAAAAATATGCAAGTATGCCTTAAGAACTTTTTCTTAGGATAACCTTCTGACATTTTGGACTACATTAGCCTCACCTAATACAGGCAGTGAGGAATCATGGGACCTGAAGTCCAAAACGTGGCAGTATCAGGCTGCGACAAGCTATCATAGGAAGAGACTGAAAGGCCATCTACTTTTCTTCATCACTCAAAATCAGGAGCAGATCTCTGTGGCACAGGGTAGATCCACCTACCTAATGTTGACAACGCTTCTCCGCAAAGTACACAATACATTGCAGATAGGTACCTGAAAGGATCAGGCCTCACCTAATACAGGGTAGATCCACCTACCTAATATTGACAATGCTTCTCCACAAAGCACACAATACAGTACATTGCAGATAGGTACCTGAAAGGATCATTCCAACCTGCCCTTCCTTCCAGGTTTAGTCAATGTAGTCTTGGAGGAAAAGCCTTCCTAACAAAGTGATCAGCCCTGTCCAAGTAACCTGGTTGTGTAGGTTCCCTATAGTAGCAGATGCCAATGCAAATCATCAACCTGTTTTTAATTCCAACCTGCCCTTCCTTCCAGGTTTAGTCAATGTTGCTTATGTCCCCTATAGTAGCATATGCCAATGCAAATCATCAACCTGTTTTTACCTAACATCAGTGCCATACTAATGTTTTATCTTTGAAATACTTCTTTCTGTAATGGTGATGTTTTAGGACAGCATCAAAATTCACATAGGAATTAGCATGACATACGCCCTTGACATACACTGCTCCAGGATGGTCCCGGCTAATTCCTACAAACTAATTTTTATCTGAGTAAAATGTTTTAACATTGTGTTATCTAATGGTCTAGAAAAGCACTGAGATCATAAGACCTAGAAAATCAAGTGTAGCACATTTTATGATCCAGGAAAGTATCAAAATCTTCAACTATATGTAGCACTTACAAACACACCAAGATACAGAGACTTCTGTGCAAAGATGATGACAGTGTGGGATGAAATAAATCCTTCCTCTCTTTCCCCATGAAGCCATACTATGATCTGATTGTGAGCCACTAGGTGGGAAAGGGGGAAATTACCTGGAAGCCAATAACTTGTAATTCATTGTGAAGGTCATCAAGGACTCGTCTGCCATCAAAGATGAAAGCTGGCTTCAGCATCTTTTTGTGGATCCGTTCATAATCCAGTTCCTGCAAATGACCCCAGAGACTACTTCAGTGACAGGCGCTATGACCCTGTAATTTTCTATATGTTTTGTTCTGTAGGAGTGTTCTGCTTACCTTAAACATATCCCACTCTGTGCAGATAACAAGGGCATGGGCTCCATCACATGCTTCATAGGGATCTTTGCTAATAGTGACTAATCGAGACACTGTAGTGAAAGGAAAAACATTTTCTAAACCATTATAATTGAGTACCCTCTAGCCAAAACAAAAGGCCATTGAGTCCTGTTAATTTTAATGTCAGGGTTTCAAGCATTTGCACAACTTTAGATTCAAATTTGGACAGGCTCATGCTTTGCAAACTGTTCTGTTTGCTATGACATTTCAGGAAGTAGTTAGGGGATAATATATTCTACTTCAGTCATCCCCAGCCGTGGGTTACCCAGGTGTTTGGGGCTCCAACTCCCAGAAATCCCAGCCAACACAGCTGGTGAAGGCTTCTGGGAATTGCAGTCCAAGAACACCAAGGTTACCCAAGGTTGAGAATCACTGTTCTACACTAACAAATAAACAGAACCCCCAAGAGAAAAAAAAAGCTGAACTGTGTCACATATGTAAATCATGAAGCTATGCCCAATATATCTACTTTTGCATATTTCGTTCTGATTTTGCAAACAGGAAGAATTTATGCAAGAGCACAGCAGTCCCAATCCTTGGAAAATCTATTCACCTCTGGCTTCAGATACGTCAGCAGGCACTGTTCATACACTTTCAAGCATAACTCCTTGGCAAGAATGGCTAGTGAGTTCCTTTAACAATCAATGGAACCATGAGTTCCCAAAAGTTTAATTTTGCACCCCATACTAAGGAATGTATTCAGTTTTGTCTGGATTAGAATCCCAGGAGTCCCACTTTCACTGCAAAGCTCACACCATTATATTTTGTCCCACCCCCACCCCCAGGCCCCAATTCTTTCTTTCCCACTGGTCTCTCTGTCTCTTGGCTGGTACTCATTCATCTTATACAAGCCTCCCATAAGAGACAAACCAATGTCGATGATCAGGCATTACTAAAAGCAAGCTATCAATGAGCCCAACTGGGGTTTTAGGAGGGAGCAATCTGGAGAGATAACCAGTCCAGTTAAAGACAGGAAATACGTGTACTGTATCTCTTTCAACTTCAGCATTTCTAGCTGTTCCCATTTCAGAGATCTTTTGGGACTAACAGGATTCTAGAAACTGATTTTCAGATGTAGCCAACAAGGTAATTTAATTTATATCAACCTCAGCCATTCGAAATCTTGTCACTACAGTACTTATCATTTCAGATCTTTTGAGACAAACAAATAGGACTATGGGGAAGCCAACCTTGTCCTTTAAGTTAGGACATCAGTAGAATCCATACAATTTTTCCTTTCTAACTTTTGCTTTTTCACAGCTTGGGAACAGAACTCTTTTGATGCTGTATGTTCACAAAACTGCAACATATAGTACATAAACTCTAATGAACAGTCTAATACATGTGTTCATTCACTATTTTAAGATTATGGTTGAGATCACTGCTATATTTAGTCACTTAAGTGATCAACAATGAATGGAACCTACTCAGGGAGGGCCCCAGTTCTGTGGAATTCCTTTTCCCAAGAGGCTCCTTTCTGTTCCTCCTTTCTGATTTTCATATTTGTTTTGCTTTGCTTTTTTTTTGGAAGAGTGTGCTTATGCTAAAATCTCTTTCAACAGATGGAGGAGGGAACATATTCTGAATTCTAGTCCAGGTTATTAAGGATGTGTTTACCTCAGGGTGGAGGATGTTTGGCCCTCCTGATGTTAAGGACTGCAACTCCCACAGTCTCATGCCATGATTTATAATGCACGAGGCTAATAGGAGCTGTAGGCCAAAATGTACTAAGGTCAAAGTTTTGCCACTCCTGAATTAGCCTGAATGTCCTGTTACTGAACTTCTGGCATTTTGCATTGTTTATTTTATTCTGCACATCACCTTGGGAGGGTTCGAGCCTTAATATAATTTCAATTATATAGACATGTCTGCATTCTCAAAGCTAAAAGAACTTGTCAAAAGGAAACTTCACATACCTTGATCATCCTCAGATACACCTGGGTGAGAAAGATCCAGAATGATTTGTTCACGGACTACTTTGGGGTCATAGATATGAAGTTTGGCTCCTTCATCCATTAAATACTTGCTGATGTAGATGCTGGAGGATTCTCTAAGAATGAATTTAACAGCCTTTCACTCAGAAACCTTCACAAGATAGCTACATTCAATTCCTATCAAGTGTAACTTCTTGGATAAAGATGGACATGAGCTACACTAGGGACAGCTCTTAGAAAGTGCTTTACTACTGCACCCCTAAACATGCTTACTGGAGACTGAATCCCACTGAACACACTGGGGCATATTTCTGACTAAGCATCCATAGATCTGCATATTGTAAAAAGGTAGCACTTTCAAATAAGCCTTCTAGTTTTTGAAAATATCTGTTCCCCATGGAAGCTAGAAGCATGATTTTTGAAAGCTATGATCTTCAGAAAGTAAACTGTGTTTTGTTTTATGTGATAATTTCATGTCCTTTACTCCATGCAGACAAGCACTGTTTACCTTGGTTAATAAAACCTTAGCAGTTAACAGTGCCAACACCCCAAATGGTAAACCCGAGGATGACTGCTGAGTCACTGCATGAGTGTGTTCTGTTAACCCCAAGGTGATAAAAGGACAGGCTGCTGCAGGTAAAAGGTAACTAGAACACAAGTTATGAGATAACAAATCCCCTCCCTCCTGCTGGATGTAACAAGTTTAACTAAATGTATGAACTAGTCAATCACAATTAAACTCCTGACAGAGGGAGAAAATGCACTGCATGGCTCACTTCTGTGGAGCAGACATGATCCTCTACATATGAAACCTACACCTTCAATGGCCCTTCACCAAGGGCTATGCTGGCTAGGACTGAGGGGAGCTGTGATCTCACAGTATCTGGAGGATTGATATGGCTCTTGGGGTGAATAAAATCCTGACTTTTGATCCAGGAAATTGGGATTCAAATTCCCTGTCCATTAAGGGGAGTGTAACCCCATTCAGGGCAGGGAAATGGCCCTCCAGCCTGTCCGGTGAAGCACCCACTAACAGCGCTTCTGTTTTTTTTGGATTGAGTTTCAATTTATTAACCCTCATCCAGTCCGTTATCAGGTCCAGACATGAGTTCAGCACAGAAACCGCCTCACCTGGATTGGTGGAAAACGAAAGGTAGAGCTGAGTATCGTCAGCATATTGTTGACTCCTCAGGCCAAACCTCCTGATGACCTCTCCCAGCAGTTTCATGTAGATCTTAAACAGCATGGGGGACAGTATCAAGCCCGGAGGAACCCCATGACACAAACACCATGGGACAGAGCAACTGTCCCCCAGCACCACCCTCTGGACACGGTCAGCTAAGAAGGAGCAGACCACCCAACCCAGCCAGCCTATCCAAAAGGGCAACATGGCCGATGGTGTCGAAAACTGCTGAGAGGTCCAGGAGTATCAACAGGGTCACACTCCTCCTGTCTCTCTCCTGGTAAAGGTCATTGTACAGGGCGACCAAGGCAATCTCCGTACCAAAACCCAGCCTGAAACCTGATTGAAATGGATCCAGAAAATCCATTTCATCCAGCAGCACCTAGAGTTGCCCTATAGGTAGGACTTGTCTCTTTACAGATGATGTTGGATTGCAATATTTGGGATCCCAGGCAGAAAATAAAAAGAAAGAAGAACAAGAACAAGAACAAGAACAAGAAGGAACTTCTGCACCTGTTGGCCTAAGATATTTCCTATGGTCAGTCAAACTACTTGCATAATGGATGTAGGGCAAGCAGTTTGACTTCTATAGTTCCTACGCATCTACTACTCTCCCAGCTAGTGCTTCCTTAATTGACAGGGGAGTATTCTTCCAACCTGCAAGGGTTTCCCCTATCAGTGTAGAGGAGAGAAAAGATCCATCTTTATGTGCTATGTGCAGATCAAACCCTACTTTTCAATTAACACAACAGCCCTTGCATGCAAAAATGTTGTGGACAAGTTGTAAGTGGTCAATGGAGAGGAAAATGTTCTTGCCGCAATTTTACTTATTCCTCTCCAGAAAGTACCTTGCTACTAATGAAAAGTTTCTAAAATTACACATTCCGGAATGTCTGTATGCCATGCAGCAGGACAATTAAGCTAACTTGTTCAAAACTGCCGCAGCAAGAACCCTTTGAGTATAAGGGTGGTATAAGCATTCTTGGGGGGGGGGAGAAAGATTTTAAGTCATTTTAATCAGGAGATTTGAGTTTTCTTTGTTTAGGAGCTGGAATTGTTTTGGGTCACAGCATTACTGAATCTACCTAAGGTCGTTATGTGATATTTCCACCTGCCAGTTGGGTTTGCTTTGTATTACCTTGTATCTCCCGTGTCTTTTTTGAATGCAAATCCCAAAATAGCAATCTTCTTATCAGTGACAGTATTAAACAAGCTGTCAATGATTCGAGAAGCAAACCTTCTTCTCTGATAGTCATTCATGTCAATCACCTGCAATTATAAAGAATGAATGAATATGATTTTCAAAGTGCCCTAGTTTGGTAGTCATAATATATTAATAACAATTGCCATGATTCTGCTAGAGATCAGAGAAATGAAATGAAAAAAATCAAACCAAGAAACAAAGGATCCAGAAAATGTTCACAAGGCACTAACATGTAGAAGTCAATTTCTTCTGTATCAATTATACAGTGGTGCCTCGCATAGCGATCGCTCAGTTTTACGACAAAATTGCTTTGCGATGGACATTTTGCCATCGCAAGAGTGATTGCTTTGTGATGGCCCCTATGGGGAAAATTTGCTTTGCGATGATCGAGGGGGAGCGCTCCCCCGCGATCATTCCAAAGGCCCTATTTTCGCACAGCTGATCGGCGGGGCCTTTGCGATGATCACGGGGGAGCGTTCCTCCGCGATCATCCCAAAGGCCCCATTTTCGCACAGCTGATTGGCGGTTCCAAAATGGCCACCCGCGGTTTTGCCTCGCTTTAGAGGCACCGAAAATGGCCGCCCCTATGCAGGATTTTCGCATAAGGTGAGTTTTTAAGCCCATAGGAATGCATTAAACGCGTTTTAATGCGTTTATATGGGCTTTTAAAAATCACTTAGCAATGAAATCGCATAGCAGCGATTTTTGCTGCATGTATTAACATCGCTAAGCGAGGCACCACTGTATATGCAAAGCTTTTATCTAAACCCAATTCGGCCTGAAACAGATTGTCTTGGAGGTTCCCCACCTACCAACCCCACCCAGGAGTAATGTTATGGAAGAAACACATTTTGGTGGGCAAAAGATAAGACAGGTTCTAGTAAAAGGATGGAAAACCTTGATACAGATCAAGCAAGACAGGAAGAAAATCCTTGCTTTCAAATACTGGATGTTTTTGAAGTGCATCTCTACAACACCATTCCTGAACCTGGCATCCTCCTGCTGTATAAGACCAGGACTCCTATGATCCCTGGCCAGCAAAGCCACGGAAGAAACCAGACAGAGATAATAGGAATTGTAATCCAACATATGTGGAGAATGACTAAGAGGAGGAAAGCTATTCTGAGACTATTCTACAGGCTGACACTAGCCTCCCATCTAGCTAGGCTATTCCTAGGTCTCTCACAAGTCTTTGGGGAATAAATCTGCTACCAATGACCCCATGACTGTGTTAGAGCTGACATCTTCTCTCTCTTCCCAGGTAAACAGACCAATGAGCGTGTGGGGGTGCCACTCCCAAAGTTGCTGTTGGCTTAATCTACAGTAGAGGGCAAACCCTCCTGGATGATTTCACAGCTGCTTCTGAGGGGCATGACTGCCCACCATTCTTCTTTCTCATAGGTGCTAGAGAGCTTGCTTAAAGAGCCTTTCCTTAGGCCAATCATAATGGCATTATGTAACCACTGTCCTATCTGAACTCTGCAAACTATCTGTACACTGTCAACTATCTGTGAGCTTGTAAGGTTAATAAAAGCACAGTCCTCCTGGGGCCAGGGCAGAGAAGACTTCTCACTCTGCTTCCTCAGACTAGTTGCCCATCAGGAGCATTGCTGGCAGACATCCCTGTGTGTGGATTACTTCTTTAATTTCTGTCGCTAAGAGACTATTTGCTATCCTAATTATCTGGTGACCATCACAAAGCCCATCAGCCTTCTCATTTCGTGACTCCAACATGAGTGCTCACACAAACCTGACATCTACTCTTCCTTTCGTAACATCTGAACATGTAGCCCAAATTCTGTTCCAGGATTGCATCTGATTCAACATCAGAAGCAAACAACACTAGATGCAATATTAAAGGGATGTGGATTTGCTTGCCTGTTCTTTTGCCATTTGTCATGCAACCTTAGTCTAAGTTTCTACATTGTTCTAATGTGGACCAAAGTTGGCACTATTTGCCATACTGTATCACTGATAAACAAATATAACCAATGGAATACTAATCTTAACTGGCTTTTGGATAATTTGGTAACTAGAAGGACCAAAGTGGATATTAACAAACACATTTTCATTTATATATTTATTGCATTTACTAGTTGTCCGACAGCTAGTCTCCGGACCACAAACAATGTAAACACATTTATAATAAAAATTCAGATTAGATCACACTATCTGTCTCTCTGTTTATTCGCCAACTATAAATTATAGAAGGCTCTTATTAACAACATGCAAGAATAACTGTATTAGGGTAGAATTTCCAAATATCCATTCTTACCTGTTGCCAGTAACGAGCTACTTCTGGCAAATTCAGAGCTTCACAAAGATAAACTAAGTTCAGAACATCTTTCTGAAAACAGCTTCCACCGAATCCTAGAGAGAGGAAAATATTAAAGACTCAGCCTTCACAACAAGGATTCCTCTTTGCAGCCTGATCCTAATTAATTAGAAGTAAACACCAAAGAAAATAAGGAAGTGTATTCCTAGGTGAGTGAAACCCAATGAGTACTTCCTATCAATTCATTAACAGCTCAGTTTTTAAAAATATATACTAATTATTAGAACTGTATTCTACAGTCAAATTACCCATCTTTGTTTCCTGGAAATCTCCTGTCTAGAGCCTCTCTCCAAGGGCAGTCTTGGGGTCTAAATACAGTATGCCTAAAAAGATTCCATTCCCCCAACAATCTCTGCATTAAGATAATTATGTTACAACAATTCTGATCTGACCCATTTTCACATGCTAAATTAACTTTATGGGGTAACCTGCTTTTAAAAAATGGAAAGAAGTCCTTTTTATGGAGGGCCTGGACAGAGGAGTCCTTAGGTAAAGGTTCCCCTTGACAATTTGTCCAGTCATGTCCAACTCTAGGGGGCAGTGCTAATCTCTGTTTCCAACCCATAGAATTAGCGTTTGTTGGAAGACAATCTTCCGTGGTCATGTGGCCAGCACGACTAGACACGGAACGCTGTTACCTTCCCACTGTGGTGGTACTTATTTATCTACTTACATGCTGCATTTTGCATGCTTTTGAACCGCTAGGTTGGCGGGAGCTGGGACAAGCGACGTGGGCTCACTCCGTCACGTGGATTCGATCTTACGACTGCAGGTCTTCTGACCTTGCAGCACAGAGGCTTCCGTGGTTTAACCCACAGCATCACCACGTCCCTTGAGGAATCCTTACTTTATACCAATTAATTGGATGAATCTTCGCCATTTGCCTACTTGAGAAGTAGGTATGATTTGCCAGCTTCAGCCAAATGGCAGTATTTATAATTACAGTAGCTATCTAAATACAGTCCATCAGTACTGAGTGCTTTAGAGTCTCCTCCTTATTGTATCAGTCCAAGAAAATAGACCTACATTACTTCTTTATAGGTATTTATTGTCAGCTAATAAATATGATGCACAAGGTCTCAGAGATGGATGGTATGATTTTGCCTTCATCAATGGAAGACAGCACTTGCTAGTGTATCCGAGACACCTATAGATACGTTATGACTTGTTCAACAAAAGATCACATTTAGAATACAATGGACACCACGTGTCTTTTTAGAAAGGGTCTGAGCAAATAATCTACATCAATGATTCCCAGTCTTGGGTAATCCAGGTGTTCATGAACTGCAGCTCCCAGTAGTCTTCACCACAAGCTGTGTTGGCTGAAGTTTCTGAGCATTACAGATAACCAAGAACACCAAGGTTATCCAAGGCTGGGAACCACTGATCTAAATATTAGTGCTGTGATTTTCTTGATGTATTTTCTTGATAGTCATATGCCATGGTCATGCCCAGTCATAAGCTCACTTGGAGAGGAGTTATTATTTGAATTAATTTTGTATTGGACCAATCTTTGATCTTTGTTGAGGCTTGTGTCTTTTTAAATTATACACCTGCTTCTTGGAGATTATAATTTTGTGTTGACACCTATTGTATTTCCATTTTAGCTATTATTTGTTTTGTCTTATAAGTAATTAATAAAAAATTGAAAACAAAGTATCTTTTGGAAACAAACTCTTATTGATAAAACTGATAGAAAAATATTCTTTGTTTTATAACAGTGAGTTTTAATGCTTTGAGTACTCTGAAGTTAGAGCTTCCTAACTGTTAGAGCAATATGACAGTGGAACCAGTTATCTTGGGAGATGGTGAGTGCTCCAACACTGGAGGCATTCAAGAAAAACTTAGATAATCACATGGCAGATATACTTTGATTGTATTCCTGCACTGAGCAGGGGGTTGGACTTGATGGCCTTGTAGGCCCCTTCCAACTTCACTTTTCTATGATTCTATGAAGCAAGAAATAACCATTTTTAAATGGATCAAATAAATAAATAAGCAAACAAACAGGAGTAAGATCTAAACAGGACAACCCAGTTCTAAACTTCAATATAACCAATAATTTGTAGGATAAAATCAGATTTCTTGAAAGCCAAGATTCAGGTATCTTGGTGAAATTTCAGTTGCTTAGAAGCCTCTTAATAAAAAGGAAACAGTGGTCTATGCCCCTCCTCCAGCCTCCTTCTGTGGGCTAGAGCAGAATAAGGGCAACATGTGGCCTTCCAGCTCTCCCATCTTCCTCCAATTTTTGAAAAAGGTTTGCTCCACAAAGTCCCCTTGTGCCCCCTGAGGGTAGAGAGAGCCAATACTGGGGCGGGAGTCTCAGGAGCAGCCTTCCAAGGATGAATGTGTGCAGTCCTGAGATCTCAGGAGATAGCCCCTCAGAAGACTAAAGAGAGATGTAGCCCACCATTATCTGGAGGGTCACATACTTCCCCACCAATTGCTTTCTATCTTGTCATGAGAGCTACCAGGCCATCCCCAGCCAAATATCCTCTAATTTTCACAGAGGGAAGACCTCAGTGAGAAGAACCTAAGATTGCTTCCTGAATGTTTTCACAGCTGTTAGGCAATGCTATACAATAAATACCTTTGTATTTACAGTCCTAGTTACTCTACCTACGCAAAAAGCTCAAAAAGCAGTGCAGTCTCATTTAACAAATCCAAAGAACTTGAACTCATTTGGACATGGATAGCCACGTACTAGCTACTATAATTATCTGAACAGGTGCTTCCCAATCTGGGGGTTCACAAAGTGTTATTGGGTGTGTGTGTCACAGGTCACCTTATATATGTTGTAGCCCTTGTTAAATAATCTCTTCCTTGATCTTTCAGAGTGGGATATTAAAATTAGCCCATACATACAGAGTATGTATGAGAAGCAGGCCCTCTGGGAGGAGAAAGAAGCCTCTGCTTTCTGAGAATGGATGGCTTTACCCCCTTAAAAATGCCTTTTTATGCAAACATGGTTGGGCAGGTGTCACAGATTACTTGGCAACTTAAAAAGGGAATTGTGACTTGAAAAAGTTTGGGAACCAATGGTCTAAACATGCATGGTCAAATACAGGGCTGGGAAACGTCTGGCTTTCCTGATTTTGCTTGGCTACAGCTCCCATAATTGCTGTCCATGGGTAACTCTGGCTGAGATTTACAGCACCGAAAGCCCTCAAACATCTAGAGGGCACTGTCCCCCAGCTTCAAGGCCATTCCCTGTCACAACGAAAGAAAGACATTTTTTTAAAATTACCAACGCTAGCTTTCAGAAATTTATTTCCAATTCTTTGATCCATTCCTATGGCTCTTGCAACCTCTTCAACATCAGCACCTGTTGCTTCACAAAGGGCACTTATGGAGTTAATGCTGCTAATCCGCTGGGCAAGGAAAGCATTGGCTGCCTAGGGATGGAGAAGAGAAAGCAAATGCAGGGAGCTACATTCTGTTGAAACATATGAAGCACAGCAGGTAACCAGTACATAAAGACAACAGCAGCATTTATATTGGAGCAAGAAAGTATTAGAAACTGGATCACATAAAATTCCTGTGTTTACATTTACCTTCTGCACAGTGTTAAACTTGGTTGCTCTCACCGGAAGTACTTGCTGGGACCAAAACAGTTATTGCTCTGTAGCCAGAATCTCACACCACCTCTAACATGAGACTGCACTGCTCAAGCGTGAAGTTTGGCACTGGACACAGAAATCAGTCTCCTGAGAACCTCACATTTTGTCAATAAATGTACAAACAAATTTCTAGCCTGTAGGCATGTAGATACTGATGTCGATAGCACTTCCTGAAAACCTAGAAGCTAGAGAAATGACTTCTGATGATTGGAAGGGGCCTTTTATTGCCCTCATAGAAAGCTGCCCGTTTATGATGAGCTGCAGAGTATTTTCTCAATTTATATACTTTATACAAGTCATATAATTCGGATTGTCTTGGTGCAGGATTCTTTTTGTTTCATAAGACATTCCTGCTCATGCAAGTACTATGGCAAGTTTTTATGGTATATGTTTTTATTCCTAGATGTCGAAACACAGCTGCTAGAGGCATAACGGTTGTTTAAAAATTATTCCTAACCTTGAATTCCTAACCTGAATTATTCCTAACCTGGAAAAGGAAATCCAGTAATTATCACTCAAGAGCCAGTGAGTTAAAGGAGAGTGATAGAGAAAGCAGTATGGCGTTTGGGAGATGTTTAATTTTGAAAAGGAAACAGGGCGGTGCAGCATAGTGTTAGCATGCTCATATGAAGTTCAGGGAATGCTTTAAAAAAGTAAAATATGAAAGAACAACTGAATTCTGTCAGTCAGCCAACTCACCATGTTTCATACTCGTGTCTGAATCCTGTAAATAAAGGCTACTATTTCCTGTTAACCTCTGCCAGAGTCTATTTGGGTAGGGGAAGCTGGTGGAATTCAGCCCTATCTCTATAAAAGGGAGAACACAAGAAATCCTATCCTTTTGGTGGGATTTCTTCATTCTCTTAAATGGCTGAGGTGGAGGCTGTATGAGACTGGGGGAATAAAAGATTGTTGTTCAGTAACAAATGGTGACTATAGGGGGTTTACTCTGTGTATGCCTAGTCTAAGCAATGGAAGAGTCCAATGTTATGCTGGGATTTTCCATCCTGTGTTTCAAAGGAGGACATATTTTGATGGATTATTCTGCTACTTCAGTGGCCTCATCAAGGCCACAAAAGTAGTGCCTTCTTCGGTTATTATTCATTTTGCTATTCTAATCCCACAGCAGAATTGGTCAGTCTTCAGCCATGCAGTTGGATTTTAAATGGCATGTTAGAACAACAAAGAAATGGCATAGATAATAACTCACAAGCAATCAAATTAAACCAAGTAAATATTGCCAAAATGCTGTCAAACTGTGTAATTATGAAATCAGTGGAAGAGTTTAAAAAAATGAAATGTATTTTTTTATCCAATATTTTTACAACAATGCTTTTCAGAGGCTAATGAAAGATGAAAGTCTCTTTCATTGCCACAGAGCTGATACTTCATTTACTTTCCTAGTGTGAACACTTGAAATGTTTTCCAGTTGTACTAACCAGTTTGGAAAGTTCAGATGACCAAGTATTCGTTGTAAGGATTTTCTCTTTGGGCACCCAATGCTCATAGACGGCACACAGAGCTCGAACAGCTTTCTGGCCCTCTGGAGTCTCATCACCCCCAATGAGGACACGGTCTGGATTCTTCAGGTCCTTGATTGCTGTGCCTTCTGCTAGGAATTCTGGATTAGACAAAACCTGTAGACAAAGATAAAAAAATTGAGTTGAAGTGCATCAATGAGAAGTGCATCAATGAGGTAAAAATCCATCGGATTTCAAAATGGCAGCTCTCTTGCCTGCAAATTTAAGTTTGGTTTTGTATTTGCGTCAAAGATACGCCGAATGCTCTCAGCTGCTCGAACGGGGACAGTGCTTTTCTCAGTCACGATTTTATAACCATTGGAGTTTTGCACAATCCGTCTTGCACAGGCTTCAATGTATTTCAGATCTGCTGCCCGGCCTTTTCCCATGCCGTAAGTCTTGGTTGGGGTATTAACCTGTAAAGAAAAATTGGAATTCTTACCAAAAAACAACAATCTGTTGATATCTCATTTCTTGGCTACTGTGCAAAACTTGTGCATTCAGTTTTGGGAAAGAAAACTGTCCAGGACATTCTGGGAAGGTCTAGAACTAGGCTGGCCCCACCTTGACTGTTCTTCCACAAGCTAGCAAAGATCTTTCTCTTCAGACAAACTTCCCCTCAGGGACTGGCTGCCTGAGTGGGGCTTTTTAAAATGGATCGTTGATCCTTATTGCTTTGAATGTGTATGTTTTGGTGTTGCTAATGTTTTTAGTATGGTATTTGTTTGATCCTTTTTAGTATTTGTATAATCCCTGTTGTTAGCTTTAAATACTGTCTTTTAATGATATAAGCCACCTTGGTTTCTTTAAAAGGAGGGAGTGGGATAAAAATATTTTAAATAAATAAAAAGAGCAGCCTTTTCCAACTTTCTTCTGTCTGGACTGCTGGGGGTTGAAGTCTAACATCTGGACAGCATCAGCATGGAGAAGGCTGCTCCAGAGAATGAAGATAATGCAAGACGAGTATAGGTTATATTGGGGGGGGGGGAGAGAAGTTTCAAAATTGTGGTGGGTTGTGAACTGGATCGTATGTGCATGATCTGAGACTATAGTGTGCAATGACAAAGTGGTCAAAGAGGCATCCTGAACACCAGCAAGCCAACACAGATCTTATGGTGGCTTGATACTTAGAAATGCTTCTGGATCCAACTTGTTCTTTGATATGTTCAGCTCAAGGACTCTGTTGTCCCTGTCATCTTCTAGTCTCAACTTCTCTTGCCATCAGCCCCTTTGACATGGCAGAACCTTGTCCCATACTCAGACAAATCTATGTATCTTCTTGATGGAAATGCTGCCATGGCACCAAGCTTCAGTTTGCAGGACTGCTGCCATTCCCAAGAAATATACACATGCATTTTCATATGTAGCTACACAGTTCATAATCATATGCTAATTTGTTAAAATGTAGGCCAAATTAATATAGACCTTATCATTCAGTACTGAGCTGAATAAACTTTCCAAACAATTAAAATGACTGGCCCAGAAAAAAATAGCCAGACTGGTTTAAAATTGTCTATATTGAACTCTGTGGCAACTTGCATTCCATTTATGTGAAGAAGATGCAAAAGAGAACTGCCTGTAAAAGCTTTCCCAACTAAGAAAGATTTCTCTTCCACTCGTCTATCCAGTTGTGGGCTGGCAGGCAGGTTAATCATTTAGCAGGTCAATCCCCACATGGCTACTAGAAATGTCACTGGCCTTATGGAGGATTATGACCGTGCAGGAGCATTTCTACAACTTCAGAGCCACATGATCCTTCTAATTTACACCAAACCTATCTTTCTCTTTGATCTATCTACCCTAAATTATAAACAACAATGCATTCTGGCAGTCGAGGCTTTTGCCTGCACATCTCTGGTATTTTTAATTCTAAAATATAAACTAATTCTGAGACCATGATTAATGACCCATGTATTGTGTGCTAAAAGTTCTAGACTCAACCCCCTGCATTAGGGCAGCCCTCGATATCTGTTTGCCTGAAGCAAAGAACAAAGACAGCACTCTCTCATTTCCCATTTGTGAGAAGGGAATTTTCTTGAATACTGATGGGAGAGTGTTTTAGTATAGGGCAAGTTAGATCGCATGTGGTTTCTCTTCCAGTACTTTACTGTTGCTGCCAAGCATTCGTTGCCTGAAGCAACTGCCTCACTCTGGTAATAGAAGGGGTGTCCTTGCCTGGTATTTCATGGTCAAGTTGGAAAAGATTCCCTCTGAGACCTAGACAGTTGCTGCCAGCCAGTGTAGCAGTTCTAAAGTAGAAGGTCTAGTTTACTGACTCAGCAAGGCAGCTTACTATGATGCAAAAAAGTTATCTGAATTTAGATTTTAAAAATACATATGCAGCATTCTCACATGTCCCTTTGTCATATTGTCACACAAAAATTCAAATGACTAGACTATAATCCCGTGGACACCCATCTATTTCTTGGACAAAATAACTTCAAGGACAGATTCCTGCACAAATCTCAACTGCATAAGGAATTCCTACAGAGATTCTTATCTATCTCCTCTTGCCTAAAAACCAACTGAGCTTTCAGTGAGCAGAAGATCTTGCCAGTGTAATAACTGCAGTCAGTGGCACTTAAGCAAGTGTTGCCTTGTGCAAGTAGTGATCTCCATGAAGACTCAGCCTGCAACCCACTTATGCAATGACAGTGCTCGTGTGAATGATGTGATCAAAGGTACCAGTGTTAACACCCAACTGTTGTTTGTCACTGGTCATTGTTATCAGTGTTAACTACTTGTATTCAATTGCTTTTGACCTCAGTGATAACAATCCTGCACCTGCACCTGCAAGCATGCAAGATGCTAACCTGCCAATGGAGGTACCATCTGTTGAAGTGCATCTGTTGATATGGACTGGAGCCAATGAAAGTTTATGCTGAATAAAAGGTGCTTGTCTTCAAGATGCTACAAGACTTTTCATTGCCTTTGCTGCTAATTATCTAGGAGTTAATTCCCAGTGAACTTAGAGGAACTTAATTTTCCACAAAGGAAGGAATCATGCATTTGAGTTTCCATAGAGGCAGGAAGATGACTCTTTTTCAATCTCCCTTTCCTTATTCACTCTGAAGAAATCCTGACATTTACCAGCGCTTATGGAAATATTGCTGCTGAACATGTGGGAACCAGGTACCTGTGAAACCCACCATCTATGGCAGAATAGAAGTTTTTTTTAATTGCAATCCTCTCCCTAACCCAATATGAATGTTCAAACTGACTATAGCTCATAATTTTCTCCCAATTACAACTGCTGCCATCCTCAGCAGATCTGAGATATTTAAGGGGAAAAGTTATTACTTACAGAAATAAACACCAGATCAGCATCTCTAATAGCATCATCAATATTGGTGGAGAAAAAGAGATTCTTCCCTCTGCAGGATTCAACCACTTCTTTGAGCCCTGGCTGGAAAAAAAAATAGCAAGTTATTTTAGGATTAAACATGAAAAGAGTCGCCATAAGATGGCACACTATTATTGTAATAATAAAACTAACAAATGATAAGAAATGAGCCCATCCTCAATACAGAAATAAGGGTAGAACAATAGGGAAGTAAAGCATAGAAAAATATTTAATTCTAGGAAAATTCTTGGGAGTAAAAGATATTTACAACTGAAGGAATTATGTTATCTTGATTGTTCAAATCTTGCCCAAGTTATAACAATATTATTCATTTTTACTGCCTATGGTGTGACTCCCAGTGGCTTCCACAAAAATGCTTTTTGTGAAATTTATATTTGTTGTATAGATGTTAAACGAGCATCTTTTCTCCCAATATTTTGCTCAGTTGTTAAACTGCTGTACTCTGGACAATTCTGATTATAGACTGCAAGTACACTGAATATGTATGGATAATCCCAAGACTCTGGAGGATCCCTACATTTAAACTAGTTGAAGTTATGAAGGCAAACTGCACATTCTTTACATTTCTCTAATAAAATGGGTCCAAGTTAACATTTTTGTCAAAAAAAAAAAAAAACAGTAAGCCCTTGTTGCCTAGTATAAGGATTTGTGCCAGGTGGACATTTTAAAATACTGCTGATTTGCAGCACAATTGTTAGAAGGAGGATGGCATAGGATATGGTCATTCATAATAGACTTGTGACATTAATTGCATAAGAATATAATAACTGGTTTAACCTAATCAAGGAGACAGAGGAATGATTTCTGTGGTCTAAATCTGATACTCGTGGGGGATGTTTTAAATCCACAGCCTTGCCCAGTCAAGCAATACAAGTTCGCCTTAGAGCAGGAGTAGGGCAAATTTGGTCATCTAGATGTTTTGATCTACAACTTTCATCAGCTCCACCTGAAAGGACCAATCAGAAGGATGAAGGGCGGTGTCATCCATGCTTATTGGGCCAAAGTTTCCCAATTCCTGCTCTTTTTAGCTTTAGCTTCCCAGAATATACTGTATAGAGGGAACAGGAAGACCCTTCTGGAAGACTGATCATCAGTTCCCGTAACAAACTGACCGCCTGTGCCTTGATTCTGCTTATCAGTACTGCTCTTTGCTTTGCTCTGCTCTGACTCACTGGGTCTTGCATAGTCTGTTTACTTTTGGCCGTCAATAATCCAATATCAAGTCTATGTCCCAGACTGTCCTCAATGCCTATTATTTTTGTATGTATTATTTCCTATATTGCCCCCTTAGAGTTATAACTTTTTGGGTGGTTCACAATATACAATACAATCTTATGGACTCGTGATGCTACCGTTACAATTATAATACTGTACTCCCTTTCTAGGAAGTGCAGGCTTAAGTCTTGAAAGCAAACATTTCCTCAGTAAGACACGGAGTCCCCTTTTTTGTTTTCTATTGTTGCTATCTTACTGCAAATTAGATCTGAGACCTACGTAACTTACATTACCTCTGATGATCTATTACTATCACGAATCCTGTTTCAAACAAATACCCAAACTCACATCTAGTTTATGAGGATTAATATACCAGCAGGCATTTTTGCTGGGATTCAAATATAATACCCAGACTGGTCATATCGCCTTTCTCTCCCTGCCTTCTTTTTATCTTTCTGCCACACCATCACCACCACAACATATACCCTCAGGAAGGAAAGACTGCTTTTCCCAGAGTTCTGAATTGCTTGTGTAACCCCATGGACTATTTGTTTCAGTCAGTTGGGAGATTTTAGGGGCGGTGGTGCTGTGATTCAAAATTTTAGTGGACAAAGGGTGGGACAGCAGGAGAAGGCAGGAACGGCTGTTTCCTTGGAGGATGATGTAGGTCCTTGGTGTAGGTAACAGAATTTCAATATGCTTGTGCAGGAAAGGTACTGGAAGGGTAAATCTATGTGGTGATCTTATGTATTCGTGTTTGAATTTGTATTTTATTCTAATGCTTTAAAGACTGTACACTTGGAGCTGTTTCCTTTATATTGTGGATCTCTGACCTCAATCAATAAGTATATCGGGAACTTTGTTCTTATTTGGCTGCAAAGAGACATTTGCCTTCTTCCTTGTTGCTTCAAGCAACTCCTTCTCTTGTGTTGGTGAAAAAAATCCAGGTGTGTACAAACTGTAGCATCCAGCTTTGGACTGTGTTTATATCAGTATTACTGTTGTTTCATTATTTTAAAGAACACCACATTTTTGTGCTTTGTGTTTGCAAAACTCATTAAAAAGAAAAAGAATGTATAGCTCCATAAACCAAAGAGTATTATACCTATTATGGCTGACTTTTTATATAAGGTCAAGAGGCATATACAGTCCTGGGGCTGTGGGTTTCTCATTCTTGTTTTATGATCTGGCTATAAATTCAAGTCAGCCTCAGAAACAAAGACATGGGGCTTTAACAAAGGTCACAGCATTCCTTTACAGTTTAGATTACAGTAAAGACAAACTCCACTAAACTTAAGTGGACAAGAGTCACACACCTGTCATATATTCTTAAGATAAGCAAGCATTTTAAAGTCTAACTATGCTAAGGCCCTTACAGAATTCTTATTGCCTGTGTTTTTAAAAAATAAATTAAAAATAAACGTGAATCTTGCCTAATCTGTAGCTTTGTCTAAACTTCTAATCTGCCAACTAAGAGGCTAACATCAGAAGAATAGGCAAAATCACTGGTTAGAAATGAACAGCATCCCACTAGCATGGGGTATTTACATAGACAGCATCAAGGGCTGGTGCTGCTGTCCAACTGACTAGCATCTACAATCAACTGAAAATGATGGGAGAGTTAAAATGGGAGGGGTCAGGGTCAGCCAGAACCATTGTCTGCTGTCCAGAATACAGCTACAGTGGTGCCTCGCTAGATGATGTTAATCCGTTCCATTGAAATCGCTGTCTTGTGAAAACATTGTCTAACGAAAAGCGTTTCCCCATTGGAATGCATTGAAACCATTTAATGCGTTCCAATGGGGGAAATAGTCATCGTCCAGCAAAAATCGCCCATAGGGAAGCCATTTTGTGAAGCGCCGATCAGCTGTTTAAATCGCTGTCTTGCGAAAAAACGGTCTGCAAAGCACGGACCAAATCATCGTCCAGCGAAATCTCCCATAGGAAAAACCGTTTTGCGAATTGCTATAGCGATCACAAAAAGTCAACGTCTAGCGAAAAATCCGTTTTGCGGGGTAATCTTCTTGAGAGGTACCACTATATAGCATTTTTGCTGCTGCCACCAGTAACACTACTACAGCAGCAATGAAAACGTCTCACCAAAAACACACACATATGCTGTACTGCCACCCACCCCATTCATCAGCCCAAGCTAAGGAAACAAAATTATTCTTGGAAGGGCAACAAAGGGTCAGACAAAATGTGGAGCCCATCTTTTAAACTAATAGCATTCAACTCATCTGACATGTCATGACGTACTACCCATGAAACAGGCATGTAAAAGGTATGGCAGCAGTAATTCTCAGTATTTTATGACACTAGTTTTGGGATTTTGGAGTGTTATAGGCACAAATGTTCCTTGATACTGGAAATTCCCTTTGAGTTAAAAATGAGTACTCACTGATATGGTCCTTATTTTCAAAAAAGAAAGTGCTAAAGCACTCTTAACCACTTCTCTGATGGTCTTGAATGCTTCTGCATATTTTGAAATGGGCCCTATTTCATTTCTCTCTTGCATTCCAAGAACAATTTGTGAGGTAAGTAGTCCAGATGTACTACACTAGTCAAAAAGTGTGCTGTCTCTGCACAGTATGTTGCTAAGTTGTACTTCTTGGATATGTCAGATGTGTCAACATTAAATAAATGACAATCCTATGCCCCAGTTGTCAAGACTGTCACCTTTCAAAAAGAGATGTGCCCTGGGGAAATATGAACCTGCTCTGGTCTAATCAGATCCCAAAACAGCATCATGCTGACATTATCAGCTTCCAGACATTATCATTCCCATTAACCCAAATACATCATGCAGGTGGAAGAGCAAATTTACACTTTGATGTCTCTCTCTCAGACAGAAATATGACTGCTCTTCAGTGCTTTGAGAAAAGCCTACCAAGGGCAGAGCCTGGAAAAATTCCTTTTTCCAGACAACGACTCCTTGAATCCACCAGACAGCATGGCCATCAAATGGGGAGACTGGGAGCTGCAGTAAAAAAAACCCTAACTTTTCTAAGTTTTGGCTAAGGCACCTCATGATGCTCAGCTCATATACAGCCATGAATACATTATATAACAGTTACACATAGAGCCAGGCTACTGTACTTGCATTCTTTGGATTCTAGATCCAAGGCCACAACTGCAGTTTTATACACAATCCATTCTAACTACTTGCACAAGTAAGAATTAGGAGCCCATGCTGCCTCTCATTCATTCATTCATTCATTCATTCATTCATTCATTCATTCATTCATTCATTCATATGCTGCCCATCTAGACACAGTCTATTCTGGGCTGCTCACAACAAAGAATATAAAAACAATTAGCATATAAAATAGTTATACCATCATTTACAGAGATTAACAATCATTCAAGATGGAAATAAGAAGATATTATGTGGTGCCTGGAGGAAAGGCCTATCTGAATAGCCAGGCCTTAGAACTGGCGTTGATTATGCATAGTTTCCCAGATTAGTGTGAAAGATCATGCACTTAATTCATGATTAGCTCCCTCAAGATTTGCCTTTCCCCCAATCCTCATTCAGGAGCTATTCCATCAAGCTGCAAAAGAGGAATGTGGGTTGCCAGCTCACCTGAGAGATTAGTGACTTTTGCTATTTCCTCACTTTGAACTGTTCCTATTATAACAGGCCAATAAAATTCAGCTGCATTACAGCAGTTTGTTACTAGAACATTGTAGCGTTAAGAAAGGGTTCCTTCCCCTTCCTTTTTTGTGTGTTGCCTTATTTTATATTGCAAGCCTGAAGGCAGAGACCATGTTGTTGATTTGAAAAAATCACGGATTTTTCTAGCCGAAGTGTATACACACTTTAAATAAACAGATGCTTGCCAATTTGAGAGTAGTTTATCAATAATATCGCAGTACGTTTCTACCTGGCCAATGTCTGGCTCTTCCTCTTCTACTGTTAAATTCTACCCATCTCCTCTCTGCTGAAACGGGTTAGTGTTTCACCATCTAATGAAGCCCTGATTCAAAGTTCACTGGGTAAACAGTGAGCAAAGGAGGAGTGCACAGATTGCACAAACTTGACTGAAGTCCATTCAGCCAATCAGCATCTTATTGTTTTACTCTGCTATCTCTGAAGGCAAAAAATGGAAAGTTCCCATATGTGTCACCTTGGACTCTCTGAGGGATACACATGAGATTATCAACTGTACAAACATAAAAGCCAGCATTCTGTTTGTATTCATCTAAGGTATGCAGAACTTGATCAGCTAACTGAGGAGATGACCATGTATGTCTCAGTTGTACATGACTAAACAAATTATGTGTACATGGGCACATGACTAAACATAATTTAGCTACAATTAGCCATGGAAAGTTATTTATTTATTTATTTATTTATTATCCCACCTATCTGGTCGGTTAAGACCACTCTAGGCAGCTAACAGCGTAAAATAGTATAAAAAATTTTAAATAGAAAAAACTATAGGAGAGGGAGGAAACAATAGGAAAGGGAGAGGAGAGGGCATCAGGAATTGTCTGGAGGGAAGGCCTGCTGAAACATCCATGTTTTTAGTTGATTTTTAAAGATACCCAGCGAGGGTGTCACGCGAATCTCAGGAGGTAGGTTGTTCCAAAGGCAAGGAGCCACCGCCGAGAAGGCCTGATTTCTTGTCTTTACCTTCCGGGCCTCCCTCGGCGTTAGGCTCCTCAGCCTCACCTCCTGGCTCACATGAGTGACATGGGTAGATCTTGGTGGGAATAGGCGTTCCACCAAGTATCGAGGCCCTAAACCGTTTAGGGCTTTGTACGTAAGCATCAGCACTTTGAAGTCAATGCGGAACCGGATGAGCAGCCAATGCAATGCAGCCAGAGTGGGTGAGATATGTTGGTATTTTTTCACTCCACTAAGTAGTCTGGCTGTGGCATTCTGCACCACCTGTAGTTTCCGCAGCAGCCTCAAAGGCAGCCCCATGTAGAGCGCATTACAGTGGTGTAATCTAGAGATTACGAGCGCATGCACCAAGGTAGTGAGCGCCCCAACATCAAGGTCGGACCGCAGCTGGGCTATCCGCCTAAGGTGAAAAAAGGAGGAGTGGACCACGGACGCCACCTGAGATTCCATAGTGAGTGCCGGGTTCAGATGGATCCCCAAGCTGCGGACCCCATCCTTGGCGGGCAGAGTCACTCCCCCAAAAGAGAGGGAGTTTCCCACATCCCCAACTGTGGGGGCGCCCACCCTCAGTACCTCCGTCTTGTCAGGGTTCAACCTCAGCCCGTTCTCCTGCATCCATTGCAGTACAGTCCCCAGGCAGCGCTGAAGGGACAGAACGGCATCTCCTGCAGTTGGTGAAAAGGAGATGTAGAGCTGAGTGTCATCGGCATACTGATGACACAAGGCTCCACACCTCATGATGACCCCACCCAGCGGCCTCATGTAGATGTTGAACAGCACTGGGGAGATAATTGACCCCGTCGAACCCCACAATTGAGACTCCATGGGGCCGAGATGCTCTCCCCAAGCTGCACTCTCTGGGGGCGGTCCTCCAAGAAGGAACGGAGCCAGGCCAGTGCCAGGCCGCCGATTCCCAGCTCGGAGAGCCTCCCCAGGAGGATACCGTGGTCAATGGTATCAAAGGCCTCTGAGATGTCGAGGAGGACCAGCAGAGACACTTTGCCCCTGTCAGCCTCCCTCAACAGGGCATCACACAGGACGACCAATGCCGTTTCTGTACCATAAATTTTTCATAAACACCAATAGGATTCTGACCATTTAATAAAGATGGCATGCATTTCTGTAGAGGCCGACAACAGTAACAAGGAAGAAGTGTATGATGAGGCAAGTACAGTTAAGAAAAGGTGGGAAAGTATGTTACCGAAAATATTTACCTCATAAATTGGAAGCGTGTCCGAATTCCAGGCATTGATTCTAGCTTCATTGACATCAACAACCGTGACTTTAATTTCTGGGCACATATGAGCAATGACACTACACGTTGGTCCTCCAACATAACCAGCACCAATGCAGCAGATTTTCTTAATTTCAAACATGATTGCTCTGGTTAGAAAGAAGATTGGAACAGAGTTTGTTTTGAGCATTTAAAACACTAAAACCAAGTCATATTTTCTTATTATTTCTCAATTAAGCAGAAACACTTTTTGTTAATTAAATGTTCCTGCTTGATCAAGCTTGATATTTGCTTTGAATCCCATTTAAATCTAGCCTACATCAATTCTAGGGAATGCAGTAAAATGTTTCCCAAAGTCTGAGAATCACTGCAATGATCAGAGCTTGGAAAAATTACATTTTAGACTGTAAGTTCAAGAATCACCAGCCAGAAGGTCACATTGGAGAAGAGATGCTGTGAGTTATAGTCCAAATAAATCACATTCCCTGGGTTTGGTAATGACAATAATGTCTTGGTTGCAAGATCAAGTGGAAAACAACAGGTTTCATAAATACAGAAACCGTTGTTAAGCGAAATCCTTGTCAAGCAAAATGAAAAAGCCCACTGAAACGCATTGAAAACCACTCAATGCATTCCAGTGGGTGAAATACCTCAACGTCCAGGGAAGATCCTCCATAGGGCGGCCATTTTCTGGTGCCTGTAATGTGAGGAATCCGTCCTAAGCACAGCAGGGAGCCATTTTAAACAGTGGGCGGCCATTTTGAAACCCGACAATCAGCTGTTTTCTGATCATCGTGAAGTGAAAAATCGGTTCCCAAAGCAGGGAACTGATCATCGTGAAGAGATTTTTCCCATTTAAAACATCGATATTCAACCAAAATCTGGCTTCCTTTAACTTCAGCCCATTGTTGTGTGTCCTGAACTCTGGGATGATCGAGGACAGATCTTGCCCCTCCTCTGTATGACAGCTTTTCAAATATCTGAAAAGTGCTAATCCCTTTTACTTTTTGGACTCTAAAAATTACTTTTTTGGATTGTAACTGCCAGGATCCCCAGCCAGCCTAGCTGCTTACCATACTAGCTAAGGAACTGAGTTACAGTCCCCACAAAATCACTTTTCAAGCATTGATACCCAGTGGGGCAAACCCAGCTAGCATGAACTTGATTTTCCTCTTTCACAGAGAATGCCAATCTCTCCAGAAGTTATTATATTTCAGCAAGAGTTTTCAGAAGCAAGATTTTCTTGACTGTAGAAGGTAGGAAAAGAGGTGGAGGAAAGGGCACAGAAGTAAGATTATAACTCTGGCTAACCAAAGAGGCTTAAATGGTCTGTCTGTTAGATGAGAAGAGCCATACGCCTTCTGTTTCATGTCTTCCTGACCTGTATAAACATAGCAGGCTTCTCAGTTAGTTAAAGTGGAGGGCCCATATTCTCAGAAAAGCTTGAAAGTAGGTAGCAGGCAACAAAATAGGCCTACTGACTGATCTTTCCCATGGCCTCTCTGTTGAGAAACAAGGACCACAAGCCATACAAAGAGGAAAAGTCTGGGCAAGTTTACATGAACGAAGTAAGACACAGCTTATCAAGTCACCACAGAACATATATAGAGTAGCAGTCCCTTTTCTTTCTCTCCCTTCCTGAAATTCTATAAGCCACTTGTTAAACTATTACTAGCAACTGACAAACTGACACACACACACACACACACCCTAGATTTTGTTCCCTTCCTTCCCCTTCCAAATCGGTGGAGTGGTGAGGGGTTTATTGCACAAGACATACACACTGTGAAACAGATGTGAGGATTTCAGAACTGTTTGGCCTAGCTCTGCTTTTTGGAGTGGCCAGTCTCCCTGTAGACACCCAAGTGGTTCATGTTACAAGCATTTCTCTGTTTATTTTCTTTAGGGGATTTGATGGCAGGTGGGGGTGAGGCAGTTTGCTTGGAGTGTTCTCCTCCCCCCGCCCGCACACTTTCTACAATGTGTCAATTACAATTGCTTTGGAGCAGAAGAATGGATCCCCTTCACCGACTGCTGCATTGTTGTGGCGAAGGGGCTTGAGTAGTTCAGAGAAGCTATGTGCTATGGCGTGCAGGGACACCCAAGATGGAAAGGTCACAGTGGAGAGTTCTGACTAAAGGCAATCCACCTGGAGCAGGAACTGGCAGGCCATTCCAGTATCTTTGCCAAGAAAACTACATGGTCAGAAACAAAAGGCTAAAAGATATGACGCTGGAAGGTGGGCCCCTCAGGTCGGAAGGCATCCAACATGCTACTGAGGAAGAGCGGAGGACAAGTACAAGTAGCTCCAGAGCTAATGAAGTGGTTGGGCCAAAGCTGAAAGGACGCTCAGCTGCAGATGTGCCTGGAAGTGAAAGGAAAGTCTGATGCTGCAAAGAAAAATACTGAATAGGAACCTGGAACAAAAAAAAAAAGACCTGGAGCTGGTTGTGGCTCTGATCATCAGCTTCTTATAGCAACATTCAAGCTTAAACTGAAGAAAGTTGGAAAAATTACTGGGTTAGTCAGGTGTAATCTAAACCAAATCCCTTATGAATACACAGTGGAAGTTAAGAACAGATTTAGGAACTAGATTTGGTGGACAGAGTGCCTAGGAGTACTGTGGATGGAGGCTCGTAACATTGTACAGGAGGCAGCAACAAAAACCATCCCAAAGAAAAGGAAATGCAAGAAAGCAAAGTGGCTGTTCAACAAGGCCTTACAAATAGCAGAGAAGAGAAGGGAACAAAATGCAAGGGAGATAGGGAAAGTTACAGAAAATTGAATGCTGACTTCCAAAGAATACAAGGAAAGACAAGAGGGCCTTCTTAAATGAACAGTGCAAAGATATACAGTGGATCCTCGACTTACAGACGGCTCCACTTACAGACTTTTCAAATTACAGACTTCTCTGGCTGCAAAATTTAGTTTCGACTTGCAGCCGAATTGACCTACAGACCAGGAAAAAAAAATGGAACAAAAACGGCCAGTTACGGATTAACCGGTTTTCAATGCATTGTAGGTCAATGGAGCCTCAACCTACAGGCTTTTCGACCTGCAGTCACCATTCCAATATGGATTAATTCCGTAAGTCAAGGGTCCACTGTAGAGGAAAAGAAATGAAAGGGAAAACCAGAGATCTGTTCAAGAAAACTGGAGATATTAAAGGAACATTTTGTGGAAAGATGGACACGATAAAGGACAAAAATGGGAGGGACCTTACAGAAGCAGAAGACATCAAGAAGAGGAGGCAAGAATACACAGAGGAGTTACAGTGGGGTCTTGACTTGAGAACTTAATCCATATTGGAAGGCGGTTCTCAAGTCAAAAAGTTCTCAGGTCAAATCTGCATTTCCCATAGGAATGCATTGAAAACCATTTGATCCGTATCTGCTCTTTTCCGTCCATAGAAACTAATGGGAAGCTGCTATTCCGCCTTCGACCACTAGAGGGGGATATTTTGTTTCTTTTTTTCTTAGGTCAAGAAAGGTTCAGGGAAGGCAGGGAAAATACAGTCCAGGCAGTACGTGGGTTTTTTTCAGTTCTTAAATCTAAGTACTTAAGTCAAGTCAATATTTTCCTATGAGAGCGGTTCTTAAGTCAAAATGTTCTTAACTCGAGCCGTTCTTAAGTCAAGACCCCACTGTATACCAGAAAGATCTGGATGTCTTGGACAACCCAGAGAGTGTGGTTGCTGACCTTCAGCCAGACATCCTGGAGAGCGAAGTTAAGTGGGCCTTAGACAGCATGGCTAACAACAAGGCCAGTGGAGGTGATGGCATTCCAGTTGAACTATTTAAAATCTTAAAATATGATGCTGTTAAGGTGCTACACTCCATATGCCAGCAAGTTTGGCCAGAGGATTGGAAAAGATCAGTCTACATGCCAATCCCAAAGAAGGGCAGTGCCAAAGAATGCTCCAACTACTGTACAATTGCACTCATTTCACACGCTAGCAAGATTATGCTCAAAATCCTCCAAGGTAGGCTTCACCAGTATGTGGACCGAGAACTCCTAGTAGTACAAGCTGGATTTCGAAGGGGCAGAGGAACTAGAGACCAAATTGCTAACATGCACTGGATTATGGAGAAAGCCAGAGAGTTCCAGAAAAATATCTACTTCTGCTTCATTGACTACGCAAAAGCCTTTGACTGTGTGGACCACAGCAAACTACGGCAAGTTCTTAAAGAAATGGGAGTGCCTGACCACCTCATCTACCTCCTGAGAAATCTATATGTGGGACAGGAAGCAACAGTTAGAACTGGATATGGAACTCCGGGAGGCAGTGGAAGACAGGAGGGCCTGGGGGGCTGTGGTCCATGGGGTCACGAAGAGTCGGACACAATTTAAGAACTAAACAACAACAGCAACACACATATATCCCTCTGCCAGCTGTTGCCTGGGTACTTTCAATTTTTTTCATAGAGTAAGACAGAGGACAAGATGGTTGGACAGTGTCATTGAAGCTACCAACATGAATTTGACCCAACTCTGGGAGGCAGTGGAAGACAGGAAGGCCCGGTGTGCTCTGCTCCATGGGGTCACGAAGAGTCAGACACAACTTAACAACTAAACAAAAAAAAAAAGAAGAATGGATAAATTAGCCTTGATTTAATGGCTAATGGTTAAACTGATCACATTTGGTTAGCATGCTAAATCCTCACCCACTGTTATCACACCAGCGTTGTTTGCCTTTTGTTGTTGGACTCTATTTAACTAATTAACATGGCCAGAAGGAGCTCCGGCTATTTTGTTTAAGAGGTAGCAGTGTTAGTCTGTGATAGCATAACAGGCAAAAACAAAATAAAAATAAAATAAGATAAAAAATGTTGAGGCACCTTGAAGACCAGCTGTTATATTTTAATGTGAGCTTTCACAGACAAAGGAAGTGGGAAGTGGACTTGTTCACAAAAGCTGAGAAAGTGGATTTGTCCATGAAAGCTCACATTAAAATTCAGCAGTTAGGTGCCATAATGTTTTTTTCATCTTTATATTTTATTTTTATTTGTTTTTGCCGGATATTCTATTTAATCACTTACTAGTAGAATTACCAGACTGTATCTGACTAAAGGTCCATTCAGTTTAGTGTTTGTGTCTATGGCGCCCAGCCAAAAGCCCCTGACAAACACACAACTGAAACATGGTGGAAAGAATGGTGGATTATTCTCAGTGCTTTATACATGTTATTATTCTTAGTGCTTTACACACATTGGTGAAATCCTGTTGTTCCTTCCCAAGCAATGGGCCTAATCTAGTGCAATTTACTACCCTAAGCAACAGCCATTATTCAGTTGTAATCTTCATAATAGCTGTCTGGATAGCTCACTGGTTTAGACATATAGTTGCAGAGCCAAAGGTTGGGAGTTTGATCGCCACTGTCTCTCTTGGGAGAAAAGCCAGCCTGGGTAGTCTTGAGCAAGCTGCAAAATCCCAGGATGCCCCCAGAAGGTAATGGCAAACTACTCCCGAGTATTCTTTACCTAAGAAACCCTGGAAAAGGTTTGCCACAAGTTGGAACTGACTTGACGGCATACATTTATATTATTTATTATGGTTGTTGTTGTTGCATAGTCAATCGAAACTATAAAAACACTGACTGGTATACAGTACAGGTTTTAACCAAAAACCTAAGTATCTGTTAAATATCAGTGCAATATGTATGCTGTTCCTAACATTGCCTTTTTTGTACCTCTGATGCTATGATTTCTGAGATCTGCAACTGCTTATAGTACTTTGTGAAATTTCTTGATATTGTTTCCAAAGCCCCAATGACAACAGGGACCACTAAGCAAGATGTTTTGATTGCCAGGTATCTGCACTTTGTTAGGCTATCCAATTCTTTATTTTCAACTCTGGAATCCGCTGGAATTGCAATGTCAATGATCTGGACATTTCTTCGTTCTATTACTACTGTGTCTGGTGTGTTATGTTCAAGGTGTCTATCCATTTGGATCCAGAAATCCCACAAGATCTTGACTTCTTCATTTTTTAACACTTTCTCTACTTGATGTTCCCATGGGATTATTGTTGTTGGTGGTGGTGAATCTCATCTCAAGTTGGACAGAACTTGTTGTTACAAAACTTGGTGAATCTCATCTCAAGTTGGACAGAACTTCTGCATGGGTACCTTAAGCTGTGCCTAGAAACTCTTGGGACTGGGAATGGGGGCAGAATCTGACTTCAAATCCTCACTAAGTCATCCAGGGACAGTCATTCTGCTTAAGTTCCCTCACAGGATCACTGCAAGGAGGAAGGGGAGATTAAGTCTCAGGTGTATTTCTTTAAGCTCCTTGAATGGAAATTTAGTAAATAAACATAAGTCAGTTACAGTAACATGTGGTAAATTTAGTAAATAAACATAAGTCAGTTATAGTAACATGTGGTACTACTGAAAATTGGTAATTCAATATGTTTCCTACCTTCGAAAAATGTCTTAGGACTGCAAGCTGAGTGCTAAAGACCACAGGTCTTGCTTTAAAATATATATAATGAATTATGGAGCCGGGTTGTGATACTTATTCCAGGTTAATTCAGACGCAATGGGCTGGTCTTAAATTGTGAAATAAATTACTGTATTCCTAGCAAAAGTAGAATCATTTTTACCAGTCATCAAAGACAACCAGGCCACTTCAGAGCAGCTGTACAATAAGTGCTTTTGGAACAAAAATCTCCAGGAATCTGCTGAGCCCTAATGCTGGAATCCTATACACAGTTTTTGTGTGTGTGAGAGAGTGAGTGATTGGGGGGGGGGAGAGACAGACAGACAAACGTTATTAGTCAGCCTCATACAGGAAGCAGAGCTGAGAAAGATTTGGGGGGGGCAGAAAACCGCAAGAGTCATTCAAACGGGCTGACAAAGGCAGCGTTGTGAAGAGAGGGGACCTCGGTATGCCGTTGATTACACAGAAAGGTCTGTAAAAGCTATATTCATCTACTCAGGAACGCCACGGAAATACAATACACGGGGAAATGAATATTTCAGACACAATCCACCCAACTTGTAAAAGGAACTTTGCCCAAAGTCCTTTGTCCCGTTAAAAAAAGAGAGGGGGGGAACGCCAACAAGATGGGCTCATCCCTTCCGAGCAAAGCAAGCCCACGAAAAGCTAAACCGCAGCGGGAAATCCCTGCCCGCCCACCCGCCTGGCAGTTTACCCAGAGGGCACCCGGAGGCTCCTACCTCCCGCGATGAGGATCCCCGCGCCCGGGCTAGAAGGCGATGCCGCAGCTGGCAGGAGGTGGAGAGCAGACGCCGCCCGGCGAGACGCGCACCCGTGGCAGGATCAGGCCGGCGAGTGGCTCCGACCCGCCCGCGCCGCCCCTATTTAAAGAGTCGCCTTCCCATTCCCCGGAGTGGGAGGGGAGCCGAGCCTGGCCCTGCCCTTCGAAGGAGGGAGAACATCGGAGACCCAACGGGGCCGGGGGATCGGGCTCTTCTAAGGCATGAGGTGTGAGTCCGAGACAGCAGGACCTTGCGAGCCTTCTCTCGAGGATGTTTTCTGAGGAGGAGGAAAAAGGGGGGTGGGAATCCAGGCGGCGAAGGGAAGGCAACGATGACGTGGAGGAAGAATTGTTGTGATTTTGCGGGGGAGGGAGGGAAGAAATTACGGGAAAGAGACGTGCCAGGGGGAGCCTTCCTTTGGACGCCTTGAGGAGGGGGGGGGGGAGGAAAGGCCTTCTTCGGGGGAGGGCTGCTGGGATGAGGG